GGGGACAGTGAGCGTGGGGGGACACCGTGAGCGTGCGGGGGGACAGTAGCGTGCGGGGTCAGTGAGCGTGGGCGGCCCTGTGATCGCGACGCAGTTTTGAAGGGGAACCAGCCCCCTCTCCCGCCCATGGTGCGGGGGCCGGCGGGGGCCGCCCTGGGCCCGCAGTGATGCCCCCGCAGCCACGGTCCAGATCCTGGGTGACGGCCTATCTGTCTCTCCCCAGGTGGAGGGACTGGCTTCGTGGGCAGAGCCCTGACCCAGCTGCTGCGGAGCCGCGGGCACCAAGTGACCTACGTGTCTCGACAGGGGGGCAAGGATCGGATCAGCTGGGTGCGAGATGAGAGCGGGCACAGGAGGGGGCCGTGGCAGGGCCGAGGAAGAAGCCCGCTTGCCCTGGCCTGCCATGGCATAGAGGGAATCTGCCGCAGGGAATCTGACTCCTGTGGATGTACTTTTGGGCTCCTGGGTGCTCCATGGGTCACAGTCATTGGAATGGGTACTGCTGTAGTTCCAAGGAGCAAAACCTTCTCCATTCATGCTTGTGCTCCAGGCAGTGTCAGGAAGGAACTGGCTGGAGTTCTTAGGAGCCTGCCCTGGTTGGTTGTTGGGAAGGCTTGAGCAGAGGGGAGGCTTGATATGTGATGTCTCTGTTACTCCTGCCTAGGAAGAGTTGTCCCGCACCGGACTGCCCCTGTGCGATGCCGTGGTCAACTTGGCTGGCGAAAATGTGCTCAACCCTTTCCGCAGGTAACTTGATCTCCCACAGTGCTGTTGGGACAAGGTGAAGGCAAGACAGTCCTGTGCTTGTCAGGGAATGTGGAAAGGGAGGAAACAACATGTCCAGGAAACTCTTAGGTTAACTAACTGTTGACATCTGTATCCTCAAGTATCCAAAACATTTCTGTGGGCCTGTTAGGTCCTAAGAGACCTTTGGAAGAAAGGTTCCCCTCTGAATCTACAGCTGGAAGTCAGAAAAATTAGTTCTACTTTTCCAAAAGGACATTGGATGCCTACGTTTGATAATGCAAAATCAGAACCAAAGTTTGACTTCTATGAGGAGCGCCATCTCTGGTGTCCAGCTGCTCTGCTGCCTTTGTCCTAAGGCAGTCCAAAACTCACAATGTTTTGAGGGAAGTGAAGAGCAACCATCTCCCAAAGTTCCCCTGCATTTAGGTTGTGAGGTCACATGTCCTCCCGCTGCTCTGGGGTGGGGGGAGTTCCCATGACTTCTCCTGTGCTTGTGAGCAGGAGTCTGCTGGGTCCCTGCTTGGTGCTGTTGTTTCCTAAGTTGTCCTTGTGAGGAATATAATCTGGCTCTCCCTTTCCCAGATGGGGTGATGCCTTCTGCAGGGAAGTCATCAGCAGCCGGGTTGAGACCACAAAGACCTTGGCCAAAGCCATTGTTGATGCTGAACAGCCACCCCGTGCTTGGGTCCTCGTCACTGGCGTAGGTATTGGTTGGGCCCGGCCAAGATATGACTCATGCTGACCTGGAGAGGCTTTACCTCCAGACAGAAACACACTTCCAGGGGAACACATCTTGCCCTGAAATGTCAGCTTTATTGCCATCAATGTCACTGTGTTTAGGCAAACCTTGATCAGCTTTTTGGTACTGCTGAAGAGGAATCTGGATCCGTACGGTTTCCCTTGGTGTCATTAGGACAGCACCTTTTCTGTGTTTTCCTGGGAAAGCCTTTAGGCATCCTGTAGAACCGATTTGTTTAGACAAATTGTAGTGCCTCAGCTGAATCCCTCTGCATATCTCCAGCTTTGCATTTTTGCTTGCTACAGTCTTGAAAGCTGATGTAGTTTATCTTCTGTAATGCCCAATTCTAGTGCAGGTGCTGTTTTGTGCAGCCAGTTCAGTGTGTTGCTTGCAGGCCTACTTGGTTTTTGGGGCTGCCAACTCAATCTCAGTATTAGGGTATCCTACTGAACTCGTAGAGCACATCGGTAGTTGAAAAACTCATCAGCATTGCCATTAGAGAGACCCTGTGCTGTTCATATGGGGATGTCCCTGGTGGAGTGATGGAGTTCACAGAATCATAAAATCCCAGAATGGTTTGGACTGGAAGGGACCTTAAGGACCATCCAGTTCCACCCCTCTACCATAGGCAGAGACACTTTCCATTAGACCTGGTTGCTCCAAGCCCTGTCCAACCTGACCTTGAATGCTTCCAGGGATGGGGCAGCAACAGTTTCTCTGGACAACCTGCGCTAGTGCCTTCCCACTCTCACAGAAGAATTTCTTCCTAGTATCCAATCTAAACCTACTCTGTTTGAAGCCATTTGTCCTTTTGTCAGTCATTGTAAATAGTCTCTCTTTGACTTTCTTGTTGGCTCCCTTCAGGCACTGGAAGGCCACCAGTAGGTCACCTCGAAGCCGTTTCTTTTCCAAGCTGAACAATCCCAATTGTTTCAGCCTTTTCTCATAGAAGTTCTGGGCTCTTGAAGGCAGGGAAGATGGTCCATTGGGGAAAGGGGGGTTGGTTTCATCATTCAACCCTGACCCCATTTCTGCTGTTACCCTTCAGGCTATTACTGCCCCAGCCCCACAGCTGAGTATACTGAAGACAGTCCTGGAGGGAATTTTGACTTCTTCTCACGCCTGGTGAGCTCCTGGGAGACTGCAGCTCTCATCCCTGGGAGCCCGGCTCGTGGAGTTGTGGTGAGATCAGGTGAGATCAGGTCCCTGAGGGGCCCGTTAAGGGTGACTCTGCATTGGTTCTGGGGCAGAAGTGTGAAGAGGTGGGAAAAGGCCATCAGTTCTTCTGTCTCTTCTTGCTGGGGTCCTGTTCCAGTCCAGCCCTCTAAGGAGTGTCTCCTGCTTGTAGGTCTGGGCATGAAGAAGGCTTTTGCCCTTTTGGGCAGGGGACCTGGTCTCACTCTCTTCTCCCCACAGGTGTAGTGCTGGGTCGAGATGGTGGTGCAATCTCTCAAATGCTTTGGCCTTTCCGTCTGGGACTTGGAGGCCCCTTGGGCTCTGGGCTCCAGCCCTTCCCATGGATCCATATTCGAGACCTGGCTGGGATCGTGTGTCACGCCCTGGAAAGTGAGTGCCTGCAAGGTGTCCTCAATGGTGTTGCCCCATCCTCCCCTTCCACCTCCAACAGCACCTTTGCTCGGGAGTTTGCTGCAGCCCTGGGGCGTCCAGCCCTGCTGCCAGTGCCTGCCTGGGCTGTGCGGGCTGTCTTTGGGGCAGAGCGGGCTGTCATGCTGCTGGAGGGACAGAGGGTGCTGCCAAAACGCACCCTGGAGAGTGGCTACTGCTTCATCTTCCCTGACCTGGCTGGAGCTCTGAAGGACATTGTGGCTTGAGGCCTCCTTGGCTGGGCCGGGCCCTGTTTTTGTGAGCTCACATGCACTCACCTGGGTGAAAGAGGGGAGCCCTGCCCCTTGACACTTCCCCATCCCCATCCAGAGAGGGTGAGCGATCTTTTCCCCATCTGTCTCCCTGTGTGCACCCCCAGTTTGAGTCATCCCCCTTACTGCCATCTGCAATCTCTGCATTAGCTGCATTGCATTTGGGGAAGGGCACAAGCCCCTCAAAGGATTGTGACTGTGGAATTGCACATCTTTCCTTTTCCACAATGTGCATGTGAACTGCTGGCAAAGCAGCTGGGGGTGTAATATCTTCTTCCCTGAGAGGTGGGTGGCAGCAGGAAACTGGTTGTAGTTATTAGCTGTTGTAATTCTTCCATGGTACTGGAAGTTTTTCCCCATCTTTCCTCCATGATGACATAAAAACCTACTTATGCTCTTCTGCTTTGCCTTTCTCAATCTCAGTGGTTGTGCTGGTTTAAAGGTAAACTGGCAGGGGAAATGAACCCAACTCAAAAGAGATTATAAGTTGGAATAACAATTTAATAAAAGTAATACAATAAATACAATTATACAGACGAACAATTGGTTTTAGCCCACAAAAACCCAGATGTATAACCCAGCACTCTGGGGCATGAACAGAATGTTGTTCGTTGGCTCCTGTGCTGAGCCCCACGTGGTCCCCTGAGTCCAAAAGTAAAAGGAGAGGAGAAAAACGTGTTGGTGCGAGTGGTGGTTGCAGTCTGGTCGAGAGTGGTGGTCACAGTCTGGTCGAGGTTCTGGTCCTTCTCTGGATCCCATGGGTGGTACCAGAAGTCCCAAGACCCCAAGATTATATACCCTCAGGTTCAGGCCGGAATGCCCAGTACTTCCCTCAGGGCGGGGAGTTCCACAATGGGGGTGAGGACAGGAGCATCCTCCTATCTCACAGGCCTCTTAACACCCAGCTTATAGCCTGAGGGGTCAGATGTGCTCTGGGCAGCTGCTGCAAATGATCTGTTGTTAACAGTTTCTGGGAAACGACATAGAGGGTGTAGAATACATAGTTTGGGTTACACCCACACAATGATGAACTGGTCCCAGCTCTTCTAACTAGGACAGTGGTTGTGGGAGAAGATCCATCTTTAGGGGATGTTACACTCCAGTTTTTAAGCTATAAGATGCCCAGAGTGGTTACATTTTTATTTAAGACTTTTCAAAAGCCTTTTGGTTCGTAATAACCTCAAATTAGCGTTTGGAGAAAGAGTCAAACACTCTTCTCTAAAAGAAATTCTTTTAGTTTAGTGAGAAAAATAAGATATTTTGGCAAAAGGTTTTACAGGAGTAAAATACAACCAAGAAAAAAGCATTTCACTAAAACATTCAGCACAAAAACCCATTCCAAAGAAAACACTCACTACAATCAATATACCAGCTTTAGTAAAACACAATTAATTGGTGTTAAGTTACCAACGAGAGAAGGAAAAGAGTAAAAGAAGAAAACAGGTTAAATGTAAAGAAAGAGAGAAGGAAAAGAGGAGAGAGAGAAAAGGAAAAATGGTTACTGACAAAATTTGATGGTTCACATAGTTCAGGCTGCAGGAAAGGAGAGAAGAAGAAGGTTCATATGGAGTCTCATGTATTTATAGAGTTTAGTTTTCCCTCCCAGGCAGGATATCTGGTTACTGACCATTTAGAGCTTTCCAGGCCAGAGTGAGTTGTGCTGTAGCTAGTCACAGGCTCCAGGGGTGTGGTGTGGGTGGGCTACCAGGCAGGTCTGCCTTGACCAACGGCCCAGCTACAGGCCTTCAGTGATGCCATGTGCTTTGCATGGACTGCAGGCCTTCCAGCTCTGCCCTGTGCTCTCAGCAGGCCTTATGTGCAGGCCTTACCAAGTAGCTGCGGGTCTAGGCCCAACTCTTCACACACACACATATTCACAGTGAGTTGATTCTAACCCATGTCAGTCATTCAGTGAGATTGAGATCCAGTATCTCACATGGGAGTACAAAGTGTGCTGAATATGGATTGCTTGGAGACTCTGCCATCTCTTTTCTTGTGGCTGGTACCAAGTTGATGTGTCAGTACCTCCAGCTGAGTCTAGTCCCAAGAGTTACACCCCTCCAGGGTTGCATGCCCCTCATGCTGTGGCAGGGATGAAGAAGAACACTACTTTGCCAGCCTTTAGGGAAAAGGGTGGCAATGGGACTGTGGTCCCTGGACTGCTCTTGAGGCCTTGGCTAAATGCCCACTACATCCAAGCTTGTGCTGAGGAGAAACTGGGTTCATCTTGGTGTGAGATAGCGCAAGTCACTGCTTTAGTCTGAAGGAGCATTTTCAGCTATTGCCTTCATTGTACTTATCTCAGACCAGTGTGGTTTTCTTTTATTCATCCCATGAGGTGGTACTTGTGTTCAGGGGGTTCCCCCTGACTGGGCAGTGAGAATATCCAAGCTACCTGGGCTGCCTTGGGAAGCAGTATGTCTCATGGAGAAGATGGCAATTTCATCATCTCATACTGTAAGGAAATGTATCTGTATGCTTCCCTTAACCCTCTGTGAAATCCACAGAGCAGTTAAATTCATTGCACTGCTTCTGGGGAAATATTCCTAGTGCTATGTAATTTGGGGCTAGAAAATTCCATTAAAAGGTAGTTCAGGCAGATAAAAAGACCTGCTTTGTTTCTGAAATAAGAAACCATCCAGAACAAAGCAGTCCACATATTTCTGTTTTTCTCTGTGGTAGAGCCAGAAAAGATGCATGCTCAGGTGACAGGAGGCAGAGATCTAGATTGGATTTTGGACCAGTGTCTATTTTTGATGACCTTAAGGAAGCCCTGGTCCCCAGTCTGCAAGACTTTGTGATCCTGAGAACAGGCCTTGTGTTATCTCAACACTGGCACAGCCAGCCTGATAGAGCTCAGTGCCAGCAAAATGTTTCTGCAATGCAGCACTCAGACACTCGTCCCAAAGGCACATCGCACTCTCAGGTACCTCCAGGTACCAGCATGGATCCCCTGCTTGCCTGATAACCCTGCCCAGACCTGGAGTTTCCTACTTGCCAGCTGGTCCACGTTTTTGCTGATGAATACACACACACACACCCCTGGTTTGTGGGACATACAGACAGTTGCCTCCCCAGAATCAGTCACACATGCTGTGAGCTGCTGTCCCATCTAGCTGCTGGCATGGAGCCCCTCACTCCCCTCGCTCATGCTGGTCCCCCCAGGAACTGATCTTGTGGGCACACGGTGTTCCAGCCACAGTGGCTGTAGAGCAAGTTCCTGCTGGCTCCCGGAGCTGCTAATGCAGGCTGCGGTGCCTGCTCCCTCTCTCCCCCGTCTGACTTCAGTACTGGTCCCAAATCCATGCATGCCGGCCCCCCAGTAGCTGGCACTTAGCCCTTGCAGTGCTCACATGGGACAGTGAGGTTGCTCAGAGAGTTATGGAAAGATAGAATAATCCAGGATTCGTTGTGGTCATGTGTAGAGCTCAGTCAGACCAGCACTGACTGGCCCTGGTTTACACCCAGCCAGCCTCTTATAACCCTTTTCTGTCTAACCCCCTTTTGGCTACTCATACCCCTGCCCGTTCCCTCAACAACTAACACATCCAACATCCTGGCTACTCAAGTTTGTATCCTTAGTTGCAAAGACCTGGCTGTCTATAGCTTCTTGAGAGCTCATCAGTTGGTGTGAATGGTGCCATTTTTTTCTGGTTATTGGCTTTGTTAATGTTAATTGGTCAGATTTTCTAACCCTCTTTTGTTTCCCGCTTTCCTTCCCTACTGTAAAAATAAATGTTCTCAGCCTTACTCCTTCAGGTGACTGATCAGGTTTGTTTTTATCACGTCTGGCTCCCCATCATGTATCTGGTTTATCTCTGTGTTGTTTATGGCTCCTTTGGCCAGATATCCCTAAATGAGCAGACATCCCCTGATACTGCCTCACTGCCAGGAATTTTGGCAGAAGCTGCGCTCCTCCTTGCTCTGCTGGAGCTCAAATGGGCCTCCCTATGGGCTGTGCTCATGGGGGCAATGACCCCTCTGGGCATTGAAGGGGTTGATTGTGTGTGTGCAGGGGCTGCGATCGTTGGCCTGGTCAGAGGCAATAGACAGGAACATGCTGAGGCATTTAAAATCAGTAGCACCTCTGTAAATGTATCAGTTTGTACAGGCAAGTCCAGTGTATGATAGGTGCATCTCTCCAGGCACCGGGACATGGGATGTCTGTGGCCGAATGGATCCTGGGGTTTTGGTCTCATTCCAGCCAAGCTGAGTGATCTGCACTGGTGCCTTGCTTTGTGGTTAGCTTTGGGCTGACTGCTGAGTTGCATCGCAGTAATCAAAGACAGCTTAATTTGGAGTTTTTGGAACCACTGATAGTTCTGAACCATTTGAGTTGTTAGTCCACCTTACACATTCTTTCACAAATTGTGAGACATTGCTGTTTTCCTAATAAAAGTTGTCATTTCCCTTCCTTGTACCTCTTTATTTCCACTGAACCATGGTTCAGACTTGACTGGGACAATTTTCTGAGATTGTAGGAACATGTTGTGACTACCCTTCCTATAGATTTCCCAGTCTAACCCAAACATCCCCTCTCACAGCTTAAAAAATTGTAAATCTGAAGCTGAAATCCAAAGCAAGCCTGTAGCTCCCAAATTCCATAATGTAGACTCCAACCATATACTTGCACCCTTCTCCTACCTACCTGTAGGGAGCATATATTGGTTCAAAACACACACGCGCGCGCACACACACACAGGGTCTCAGAAACATGGACAAAGACATGCACATTCCTCACAATTGAAATTGGTAGTACTTGGGCAGGAGGGAGGGAAAGAAAATCTATTGGCAAGGATAACTATCATTCAGTGCAGTTATTTCCTTTTTAAGGTCAAGGATTTCTTGTATGACAAATCAAAAGGACCAAACAAGGCCTGTCATTAGTTATGATATTTCAGGATAGTGTTTTTTCATACTTGGTAGTATCCTAATCTGCCTTCATTGTTCATGGGTATATTGTTCTAGCAACCCATATTGTACTGCATCATTTGGATCCCAATTAGGGTTTTGTTTTGGAAAAACGACATCTATGTTCTCTCTTAAAACATTTGTAGCAATCTGTGCTTCTACGTTTTGTCTAGCTGTGTTGATTACAAGTTCTTTCTCTGTTTCTGTCAGTTCTGATAACATCAATGTCTGCCCAGTCTATATCTTGATTTTTCGCAATCAATTCAAACCTTTTAGTCACTTTCTCAGGATCTTCTCTAAATCTTTTGGCTTCTTCTCTCCAACTATTTAAATCACCCGCAGAAAAGGGAGCTTTTACTCTGGTCTGAGTACCTGCAGGCGTAATTACTTGGCGTAATGGTGCCACCGTGTGGCTTGCCTCTGTTTTGGATCTTGCTTTGGTCCCAGCTTTGCTTTTGGCTTTCCACCTCACAGCCTGACTGTTGTGTGCTGCTTACCCCTTCCTCTGGTTCTTCTACACTTTCTGCTATACTCACCAAATCATCTATTCCTGATTGCTGCGGGCTGCTAGGTCCTTGTCTAGCCTGCTCTGGTCCTCTAAAGGGTGCTAGCTGTAGTTCTTGAAAGTCTAAGATACTCTCTTCATCACTGTCCCTCCTTCCTAACTTAAGACACTGCTGCCCAATTACTGCAAGCGTCACAATAATGTTTTTTCAGTTTATGATTTTTCTGATCCTTTTCCAATGTTAAAAAGGATCTTGGGGTGGGATATTTATTCCGCAGTTTTTCTGCCAGTTGGTTTTATTTCTCAAGGTGAAAAACTTCTTGGCGTACATTACCTCACCCCATTTTTGTTCTCTGCAGAGAAACAGCATAAGCTGTAATATTGTATTGTAATTAAGGCTTCCTTCTCGTGGCCACTTTTCACCATCATCTAATATATACAGTGGCCATAAATCCTGGCAGTATTTGCAAAGTGTTCTTTTACTTAAATTTCCTCCAGTAATTCCGCGTACTTCCTTCTAATGTTTCAAAATGCACCCCAGAGGAGTTTTAATGTATGTTTCTTTACTTACTCCACTCCCCATTCTCAAGGGTATATCTTTTTACAATGTACTGGTTATTACTGACAAATATCATAGAATGTGGGATATTCACCGGATTGTCCAACCATTTGAGCGTCAGTAATGTGCCAACTGACCCAGGGGTCGTCTTCCCAAACCGGTTCCCAGTTGCAAATACTCTGAATCACTAGAGGGTCGTACCCTAATTCGTCCCTTCTTTGAACTAATTGTCTTACAACCCACTCAGATGATACACTATTACGTCAAGCAATTCTTGTCTTTGGGCCCTTTGCTCAAAATCTAACTGAGCTAAGCTCCCACCAATGTCTTCCCCGTCCAACTGAGTGACTTCTTTTATATATAATCAAACTCTAGTTTAAGTTTCAACACTTTCCTTAATCTGTTCCACCGTCTTAAAGTATTTCTTAATTTATCCCACCACTTCATGGATTAAATTATCGTTCCCTTCGTCCATCTCTGGCTGATGCCCTCACGGGCAATTCGGAAACGCAGACTGGGACTCCCACTCGCTTCGCAGTGACACTGCGTCTCAGACACACTCACACACACGCTTGCACACCTGTTAAGTTCTTCTAAGTTTTACACATTCCAGTTGCATTACCAGTTAAGGTCACAAGATGTCGCTGTAGACTGCGAGGTATGCAGCTTACACCCAGTCAAATTGCTTTACCACATAAAACCACAGGATGTCGCTGTAGAACACAAAATGTATGTTCTACTGTTAATTTGAGGGAATCTTTAAAATTACACACCTATCAGTTGTTTGACAATAATATTCACTCCCTTGGTCTCTTCCAACCTTTGATTATCACCACATCTAATGCAATACGAGTTCAAAGTTTGATTTAACCTTATTCCTTGCGTCTCCTTGGATCCTAAAATGTATCTATTGCAATCTCACATACAATGCAGTTACAAAAGGACAAATCTTAATTTTAGGTTTCAAATGGTGCAGTAGAGTTACTTGTTTGGGATTACCGGAGTTACTTCCCGTAAACAAACAAACAAACCCCGACTTTTAGCACAGACCAAAGCAGCATGTAAAATGAAACAAAACAAAGAGACCCACAGTACATTATCTCCAGCTACCACTTTCCAGGAATTCTTTAGCAGGACTAGAAGAAAATTGAAAGGAAGCTCTCTAGGTCCTAAAGTCCTTGTCTCAAGAAAATCGAAAGGAAACTTAATTACCCAAATCTTAAGACAGTTCAAAAGGAAAATTAGGGATTAGTAGCCTCCCAAATCTTCAAGTCAAAATGAACAGTATTTGGCCAAATACAACACAATGCAAACCAAATCTGGGATTTACCAGATAGATAGAAGCCAGAAGGTGTCCCTCCTAATTAACCCTGCGAGAACAGCGTCCTGTCTCGTCTTATGGGGCAAATTCCACCAATATTAAACCAAAGAAATATAAATACCTTTTATATTGAGCAGGAGGTCCTTGTACACCGGTGTGTGAAGCTGAGGGGGTAGGGGAGACTCGGCGATGGAAGCTCCAGTCAGGGGCCCCACAAGGGTCCCCAGGCCCCTGGAATTCCAGCACTGGCGGAGACGCCTCCTTCCTGGCTTGTCAAAATTGATGCAAAAACCAGCAGAAAATAACTGCTCAGAGACAAAATTTGGTCTTTAAGCAGCAAAGGTATTTATTTCAAGCAACATTGGGGTGCTAGGCAGCTATCACTGCACAAACCAGCTCCGAAGTTCTCAGTGAAAAGTCAGGTAATTTATATGGTTTTGGTGAGGGATTACAATATTTTACATGAATATTCATTAAAATTACATTATCTAGTTATAATATTCATATTAGGTGGGGTTCAGGCAGAGCTTGAGGCAGAATCATTCTTTTGAGGAGATTCCTGGGAGTCGTTCCTGTTTCTTCAGCCTCATGAGGGTCGTTTCTTTTACTCTTCTTCGTCGTGAACTTTTCAACTCTTCATGACTACGTGTGAAAGTCTTACTAAAAACCCCTTCACTCAGTTCTTTACCCCCCCAAATGTCCATCCTATCTAATTTATGACTACTAGGCCAACCTTTTTGTTATCTTTCTTTGGAATAGAGCGTACCAAATGTGGGCAGGCCTCTCGGAGCCTGGTATCTTCTCTCCCTTAACTAATCTCATAACACTGTTCTTTGTCTCTGTCATTTTAACCTAAATGCAGCATTCCTCAGAGTGGGATCTGTGAACTCCTTCTCAGGGCAGGATTCCAGCATCTAAAAATCCTTGCTCTGTTTCACCATACTCTTCCTGGAGGTCTATAACAACAAGATGAAAAGCAACAGACACTAATTGGAACACCCTAATTTCTTACTAAATGTAAGGGAATTTGTTTGTTTCTTTATTTTTTCCATAAGACTGGCCATATACTTGAACAGGTCCACCGAGTGAGACTTGATGACTTCCAGAAGTCCCTCCCAACATGAATTATTCTATGATTTTATATTTTCATGATTCTACAGTCCAACACACATTTACAGCCATCTTTATTGCTCTTGTTGGTGCAGGGATAAAGAATGGAATCAAAGAACATCACCACCACTGTGGCAGAATTTGTCCTATTGGGGCTGACACAGAGTTGCAAGCTGCAGTCTGTATGTGACCTTCTTTTTCATCTATGTGACAGCCTGGCTAACAAACTTCACCATCGTTGTAATTGTGGCTGTGAATCAACAGCTCCACACACCCATGTACTTCCTCTTGGCCAACCTTGACATCAGTGATTCCTCGGTCAATACTCTCAAACTGCTGTCAGGCCTCCTCACACAACATACAATGATCTCATTTAATGAGTGTTTCCTCCATATGTTCTTCTTCCATTTCGGTGCAGGTGCAATGGCTTTTTTCCTTGTGGGGGTGACAGTTGATCAGTATGTGGCCATTTATGCGCCACTGTGCTACTTGTCTATCATGAACTGGAACATGTGCACAGGATTGGTGGCAACTGCATGGTTCAGTGGATTTCTTCATTCTATTGTACAGATTGGTTTTCTTCTCCAGCTACTATTTTGTGGTCCAAATGTACTGGACAATTTCTACTGTGATGTCCCTCAAGTCATCAAACTGGCCTGCACTGACACTCTCATGGCTGAACTACAGATGGTGTTTAATAGTCGAGTGATTATTATTACTCTTTTTGTAATTTCTTACACTGACATCTTGCTTAAGATATGGACATGCACCACAGAAGGGAAATGGAAAGCCCTGTCTACCTGTGGAACCCAGATAACTGTTGTGAGCTTAATATTCATCCCCTGCATCTTCATCTATGCCCAACCTTATAAGAAATTCCCTAGGGACAAGGTGGCCTCCCTTGTTTATACTGTGGTCACTCCAATGGTAAATCCAATGACTTACACATTGAGAAACACTGAGATGAAAAAGGCCATGAGGAGAACACTGGGAAAAATATTTCTCTCAGGAGGAATACAGAAACCAGATCAGACAGCAGATCCAAAGACATCAGGTCTGGTGCTTCCATGAGAAAACTGTGTTCATCTCTCCTTCAGTAAGTGAGCAACTTTAGGTGTGAGATGAAGGCAACATTCACCTCCCATTAGCTTAGGAAGGTCAGTCACATGTTTTCTTGTCCTCCATGGAGTGTGCAGTATAGTGTGATTTCTAGAGCCTAATAAGAGTTTTCTGCAATAAATGACCTGCAAAGACATCACCATGGCACACCTGGGGTACTGACCATGTGAGGGGCCCTAACCTCACCCTTGTTCTCCCTGGTGGAAATCACAGCTGGGCATTCCACTCCAGCATGTCTCACTTCTCTTCAGCAATCTAGTGTAGTTTCATCTCTAGGTTAGCATACCAGAAGACTAGCTTGGTAAACTTGATTTTTATATCTGCTTGTCACATAGTTACAAAGGGTCTTTATAGTAGGGTCAGATATAGGTTCATTGTACTCCTTTTCCCTCTCTTATCCTCACTTTGGATGGACTGTGTAGATTTTAGGATCAGTCCTGGAAGGCAACATCCTGGTCCCACATTAGACAACATGGAGCTGGTTGAGGGATAAGATTGTCCCAGGAATCGCTCAAGGGTGCTTCAGGGATGGAGGTTCTGCCCCCACACCATTCCCCTCTTCTTTGCTCTGCCCCATCCTCCAGTTTCATCTCAGCAATCCTCACATGATCATGGTCTCCTACAAATCCGGAGTCTTCTACATGGAACAGGCATTCTGAATATAATGCTAAAGAAGGACAAATGCGACAAGCGAGGAGGCAGACCTCCCATACTGTTTTCTGAATTACTAAGAAATTAAAATTTATTTGTAGATCCTGACAGAAGATCTAAATTTTTTTTTTTGAGGAAATGTCAGGCCCAAAACTGGGCCATCTGGAACCAGGCAGAGACCTGGGGGAGCAGGATTGATGTAGAGAAGAGAAAATTCTGTCTGCAGGAATATCTGACATCACCTCATGGAGGATGTTGTGTGGAGGAGAAAACTTAGAAGTTCCCAGATCTGCCACAGAAAGTGCTGCTGAACACTTAGCCACCCGACCTACAAATGACCTCAAACTCAGAATTAGCATAGTCCTTTGGGTCTCAGAAACAGGTAAGTGTCCTTATGCCTCACATGGTAGGCTAACAAGGCCACGAAGGGCCTGTGTAGTAGGTGCCAGAGATAATGAAGGTCTGTGCACTGCAGGTGCCACCAAATTCCCTTCAAAGGAGCTGGATGTCAATACTTCTGGTCTGTTGTCTGAGGAGCTCTTAGATGACATAGACACTGACTACTTGTCTTTCACTTCTGAAGGAGTGCTGAAGGACTGCTTTCAGGGTCAGCTGTGTGACAGGAGTGCAAAAGGACAGAAACTCTGCACCAGAAAGCATGAGGCTGCTCAGAATGGTGGTAACTGTGCTCCTCAAGGATCGTGCTTCTCAAGGACCATGGAGCCAACCCTGGGTGAAGAAATTTCCCCAGTACATCAAATCTGATCATGGACACCATCCCAGATGGGGGATGCTGCTGTCCACGTGTAGGTGCCTCTTGCTGGGTTTAGAGGGATGGTGGCACCATGTGTGGGAAACAAGCCATGGTCAAGGCACTGAGTTGACAGGTGGAAGGACTGCAAGAAGGGACAGAGCAGAGATGATAGCAAAGTCCTTTACAGTGTCGATGGACATGTAGCTGGAAGGCACACTTTACTGAGTGGTGAGTAAGACTCAGGGTGGGAGAGGCTGGATGCTTGTGGCCTCTGACAGAAGGAGATGCTTGTTTTCTTTTGCCAGAGGACAGGTAGGAGAGTTAAGAAAGGGGATAAGCAAATAATAATAATAATAATAATAATAATAATAATAATAATAATAATAATAATAATAATAAAAGCCTACTTCATATGCAACTATGTTTGGCTTCTTATAGCACACAACAGAAAAGGTTTCATGAGGACTGAGTCCATAATATGATGGGTGAGCAGCTGACTGACAGGTCAAGCTCAAAGAGGCTGCATGGAGGTCAAGGCCATGATCATGAGCAGAAAAGCTTCAGCTGCTCCTAGGAAGTGGAGGAAGAAAAGCTGGGCCATGCAGGCCCCATAGGAGATGGTCTTATGGCGTGAGAAAAAGGCAGCCAACATTTTGGGCAGGGACACAAAACAGTAGCAGATACCCAAGAATGCCAAATTGGCCAGGAAAAAAAACACGAGTGATTTCAGCTGAGAATTCCCTCAAATTGCAAAAATGGTAATGGCATTGCCTGGCAGAATGATCGTATAGAAAAGCAGGAAGGAGAAGAAGAGAATCATCTGAACTTCACAGGTTTGGGACAATCCCAAAATAACAAACTCTGTAACTACTGTGTAGTTTTCATGTTCCATTTTCACTCTGCAGAACCCTGAAAAAAAAGACAGTAATCATGAAAATAAAAAAAAAAACATTAACAGTCCAGTGCAATTCTACAGAAATGTTTGAGCAACTTAGGGCATATTTGGATTGCCTAAAATGCGTGCCCTTTTCCCATTTCCTGGTGTTAGGGAATTCCTAATGGTGAAATACTTGAAAACCTGTAATTTAGATTCCCGTTAACTTGGACATTTTATTGAAAATCTAAACTGTAAATATCCACATTTCATCAGGTGTTTTTTTGTTTTCTCTGCATCCTGGGAACTGGTACTTGAATGGATTTTAGGTCATAAAGTGTCAGTCCATTCTTCCACAGGTAGGTGAATTTTTGTGATTTATGGCTTTATCTGAGCTAGTCGTGTCTACTCCCTCTCCAGTTGCCAAAAGCAGGTCCTTCCAGGGCAAACAGATTTAATTCTAGAGTAGACAGCTGAACAAAGTGTACTCTAAAATGATACAGTTAATTTAAATCACATCCACTAATTATAAAAGGAACCTAAGTATATAGATCACTCACATCTGAAGGAAGGTTTATGAATCCCTCAGGTGAATTCATCTGGTAGCTGTTTGCAATTAAACTCCTTAAAATCCCTTTCTATTTAATTATGTCAGTATAGCCAGCCCAGGGAATGACTAATCCCCTCCTGATTTTTTTCTATCATACATCAGTTTAAGTATCTTCCAAAATATTTCATTTTCCCCAGTTGTCCTTCAAGAACATCCTGAAGATGTCCAGATCACATTCAGGCTTTTACTTTTTTCCAGAGAAATCCAGCAGAGATTGCAGGAGAGAGGTGTCTAATTTTCCTATTAAGTCAACAGAGCACTGGACATATAAAACCTATCTCTATTAACCCACCACAAATCAGTATGAAAAACAAACTGGTATTTTTTTCACAGAATGTATGAAATAATTTCATTTACATTTTGAACAGAGCTGTGGATTCTGACTCCTCGCTCATTAGGAAACCCACAAATATTGTTCAGATTTCTTTTAAAAATCTCTCTATTTGTCTAAGTTATTTCATTATTTCTAAGTTATTTCATTCCTCCTATATTTTTTGAGGGGTCAGGAGAAAGTCATATTTTTGTCTCTAGTTTTTTTTTTTAACTCTTTTCTTCCATTTTGCTGTATCACAGAATCAGATCTTTGAGACCAGAAAAAGATCTTTGAGACCATTGAGTTCAACCTATGACCAGACACCACCACGTGAACTAGACCATGGCACTAAGTGCCATGTCCAGTCTTTTCTTAGACACATCCGGAGATAGTGACTCCACCACCTCCCTGGGCAGCCCATTCCAATGACAGGGAGTTGGAGAGGCCTGAGCCTCCTTTTCTCCAGACTAAACACACCCAGGTCCCTCAGCTGCTGCTCCTCCTTCCTTTTCTTCTTTCTTTTTTCTTTTTTCTTTCTCTTTCTCTTTTTCTTTTTCTTCTTATTTTTCTGTGGCTCCATCCGTTACCATCTGCGCGTGCCTGTGAGAGGAAAAACAGAGAAAGGAGAGTGATGAATTTAAGATTTTCAACACCAAGAGAGATGATCTTTCTGCTGTCTTGGCTCAGAAACTCCCGTTCTAGCAACCTCCTTATATCCCTGCACTGCATAGTGAATATTTTGTTCAGTGGAGGTAATCTGAGTTTTTGGAACTGTTTCTTTTGATCTCCAGTTTTTTACTCTGCATCTCTACTCTTAAAATCCAGTGTGACTTTACAATTAGTTGCTATCTTCATAAATAGGCTTCTGTTTGCCCAGTGCTGCAGGCTTTGGCCCCTCCTTGGTGCAACAGTACTTCCCTCTAATATTACCTTTTACCATTCACACATCTAAAGCACTTATTCCACATAGGACTGCTTTGTCTGTAATCTCAGAGCTGTCTGATTCCTCTTCTCCACAGAGGATTACAAAGAGAAAACAAGAAAAAACCCCCAACAAACCACTCACACATTCATTCTGTCTAAGCACCACAATAGATGCTAGGAACAAAGTTGCTGTAAAATCTGTAACTTTCTTGGGTCTGAACAAAGGGGGGTTTACTCTAGCCACTGAGGGATTCCTGCTCCAGCAATCATTGAGAAAATAAATACTTCAGAGTACTTCAGAGCGTTTTATGGTGTAATAGTGTTTCCTGTAGTATTCGTATGTTAGCCAAATGGAAACAGAATACATTGTGCATTCTTTACTTTGCAGACAGCTCTGTTTCAGGGCAGATGTGATCATATCCTGCAGGGGTGTGCCCTGACTGTACATTCAGAGAGGACCTTGGATATGCTGACTGCAGTTCATTTCATTTATACAGGCATAAGCACCTCATTCTTCTTATCTCAGATTCTTGAATTAATATTCAATCATCCTCCGAGTGTGTCTAGTTGTTCTTTGTTCTAAGCAGATCTTGATGTTTAGCTCTATCACAAAAGGGGGACTATCTTTCTAAAAGTAAAGGTTCAAAGTAATTTTGCATGTCTTAAAATACCCGAGACATTTACACTGGCTTGGAAACTGGACTGGAAACTTGGAAACTTGGGTAGCAGTTTGGCACAAACATGTGATGACTTCAGGTGCCCTGTATCTGCACAGAGTAGCAATGTTCCCTTCTGACATTTACTACAGCAGATTAGTGCGGGCTACTAATCAGAAAGCCCACAATTACCTCATTCCAGCACTTTCAGATGTTGTTCTATTGCCTGTTATTGATCCAAGGTCCTTCGTGTCTTGTTTGCATTGTCCCGTTTGCCATAGCTTATTGCACCCAGCTCCTGTTTGCACTGCAGCTCAGCTCTGGGACAAAACAAGGCCGTGATACTCCCATGTCAGTTAGACAAGTCCATAGCAGTGGAGCAGGTTGAAATCTAGGCCAGGAAATTAAGTAGTCAAGATGAGGTAAAAGCCAGCAAGATATAAGGCCAGGCACAGCATACATGCAGCACAGGCAAGGCAAGAAAAAAGAAGAGAGCTCAAGCTTAAACACTTCAGTCCTGAACCAATTTCCAGATGAGGTTTCCCACAGTTTTCTTACAATTTAGCTGTTTCACATCAAATTAATACAAGGTTAAACAACCATATTGTGTCAGTGCTGACCTTGAACAGAGGCAGCTAAACTGCTGGGGAGAGGAGACAGCAGAGAGGGAGTACAAAGAAGGCCCTTACCTGCAGGTCAGAGCACTTTAAGCCTGTTTCTGCACCTGTTGTCCCATCAAGTCTAAAAAAGTCATCATGAGTAAACTAGGAACATTGGTTTGGGAGTCACTGACATCTGGAAAGGCCAAGCAGGCAGGCAGAAAGTACATGGGGTTGTAAAACCATGGATCACTGATGACTTTGACAAGGATTATGAAGTTTCTTGGAGAAAAGCATGGAGAGAAAATACTGAATAAAGAGTTATCTGTCCTATGAATCTTCCTGTTGCTGTGTTTTCTGACTGCACTGTGCCAGTGATTAATCTCAGACTCTCTCTGAAACACCTGTGAGATTTATTCACAGGATCAAAAAAAAAAAGAAGACCAGAACAGTATTGTTTGGGAGATATAGGGATTGGGTCATAAGGGAATGAATTAGAGAGTTCATGGTTTATTTTACTCTGTAGATAATAATCCCATAAGCACAAGAGCAAATGTCCTTCTGTGCTAAACTCCATGAGCCTGAATACTGTGACTTCCAATGGTACTGTGAGTTACATGCCAGGATCATCTCAGTAGTCAACAGGTAAAACCTGGCTAATCAATAAATTCTTTGCTCATTTTTTTTGTTCATTAATGATATGTGAATTTTAGTAAGAATAATCCATTTTTGATCTCACAGCTACAGGATCAGCAAATTACAGAATCATATAGGATGAAGGGATCTCTGCAAGTTTCCAGTCCAACCTCCTGTTTAAAAGAAAACTGCTCAGGGACATATCCAGTTGAGTTTGGAGTATCTCAGTATCTCTGTGGCAATGTCATGCTCTGTCTTGGCTCCTATTCCAATGCCTGTCCACTCTTGGTAAAAGAAAGGTATTTTTTAAACTGAGTTAACCTGCCATGGTACAACTTATGTCTTATGCTCCTCACCCTGGCACTGTACACCTTCAAGAAAATTATGAATCAGTTTTCTCTAAACCCTTCTATTGGGTAGAGGAGGACAGCAATAAGTTCTCCCTCACAGCCTTTTCCTCTATCTCCTAATTTGTCCTCCATTGGACTTATTACAATAATTCCATGTCTTTCTTGTTCTGGGAAGGCTGAAAATAGGGAAATTAGTCCAATGGGCTCTCACAAAGAGAGGGATCACTTCCTATAGTGACTGCTCTCTTACAGCTCAGAATGCAGTTGGCCTTAGTTACTGCAAGGCCACACTGTAGATGTACACCTTACTTGTGCATCTGAATGCATAGATACTTTTCTGGATACCAGCTATTTTCTGCTCCCAACACCAGAGTCAGCATTGTTACATACTGTTTCTTTATCCCAGACATAAGACTTTGTGTTTGCATTTTTAAAACTTGAGAAGATTTCTTTCAGAGCATGTTTATAGTCCATTCAAATAATTCTCAGTACCAGTCTGTCTTTCTAATGGACTGTGCTGGTTTTGTCTGGGAT